AATTTATATTCTGTTTAAAGTCATGCATGTTTTTTTTTTTTGACCGGAGCTATAGTCTAGTGGATAAGGGGCTTGTCTTGCACTCGTCAATCCTGCATCCTGGACAGTCCATATGTCCCTTGGAATCCACCAGGATTGATCCCTGGTCACAGAGCCAGGTGTAACTCTTGAATACTACCAGGTGTGGTCCCAAAATCAAAATAAAATTAAATTAATTAAAATCATGTAGTTTTTAAACCTAAAGAGGTACTTATTTCTCCTTCCAATATTTCAAGAGAGAAATGTATTTTCTCATCCCCAGTGCCCTAGCGAGAACAAATAAGTGGTATTCACAGTAATATATATGTTTTTAATGTGAGTATATAAATCTCTTTCCTCTCACCAGGAGATATCTTCTTTGTGAGTTTCTCTCTTCATCTTAGATGTCTGTGTTTATAACAATCTTAGATCATAAAGCACTCGTCGGAATAATTTGACAATAATTGACCCAAAGACTTCTCTGGTTTTTGAGGACCAGCCAGATAGTCTTACAATCTGGGAAGGATCAACTGCAATGAGTTTCCCTTTATAAACAGAGTAGATTAACCACTCTCATATTACAAATACAAAATCAGAAATCATAAGCACCGAGAAAGCATATGTACAGTATCACAGCTCATGGAAGGCTTTTCAACTCTTCCTGAGTCAATATCTTTATTCTCAAATGATTTTCATCTCTCCTTGTTTTTGTCCAAATTGGAAATGACACTTAACACTTGCACTGTCTTTTGTAAAGTCAAAATCCTGCACAAATTTTAGTGAATCTTGTCAGGTTGCCTTGAATTGTCATGATCATGTGTCTAAAGAAGGAGTAAAAATATATAGAAAAATATTTCTTGGATTGTGTTATCAGACTCCAAGAATAATGAGCATACTGTAAAGATGGCGTGGGTAATATCTAGTATTCCCTATTCATTATATCAGAAACTGCGGTAGGCATGTATCTTTCATCATTTCTTCCCAATAACCCTAGGAAGGAGATGACGATTGCTCTCATTTTCTGGTGAAATAAGCAAGATTCAGATACTGTAATCTAGAAAACAGAAGACCTAAGATTCAAATCTAGGCTACTGGACTCTAATAACCAGTTTTTCACTGCCATGCCTCCTCCCACACTCTGTCTTTAAAGACTCATGGCTGAGAAATGCTGTTTGGGAATAAATATCTCTTGTATCCATATTAGAAAGCCCATGAACAGCCTGTACGTGTTGGTATGGGAAAACATTTCTAATCTTTGCTGATTTAAATAGTTTAAAATATTTTCCTCTGGTTCTGAATTTGCTCCTATTCTTAGATCACATAGTATTTACATATTCACATTGGCAAAGTGACCCATAGTTTTTCAATGCATGTTTTGGTTTTCATGGCTGTTTGGGGGACGAGGTTTTGGAACAAAACTAAGGAACCTTTGCAAAGGCTGAACAAAACCAGTGGCCACAAGTAAGTGATTGTTGGTTTCAATCCGGGTTTGGATAACATACTGACATTGTAAACCTGGGGATTACCAAGAATAATCACTTAGTGGATGGTAGAGCAGATATAATAGACTGTAATCGAAATTAGATGTGTCAAGTGCTATGTGCTCTAGTCTCAGAATTTACCATCTCAGTGATAACTACAATGCATGAGATATGTGCATTTTGTATATATTCATTGTTTCACCTTACTTCAAATTGCTTATTTATCAAATGAAGGGAAAGATGATGTTTCTTTCTTTCTTTTTTTTCTTCTTCATTTTTTTTCTTTACTTTTTTGGGTCACACCCGGTGATGCACAGGGATTACTGCTGACTCTTCACTCAGAAATTGCCCTTGGAGGTGCTCAGGGGACCATATGGGATGCTGGGAATCGAACCAGGGTCAGCTGCATTCAAGGCAAATGCCCCACCCGCTGTGCTATTGCTGCAACCCAAAGATGATGTTTCTAAACTTGCCACCCTTCAGTACTTCTTTTATAAGTATAATTACACTTATTTTTGGTGGAAGCAGTGATCATAAAATAAGTAATGTGGCCTTGGCCTTGGAAGACTCTACATGTAAGTTTTTTCACAATCCTTAGCTCCAAGTCTGTGTCTTGAGTAAGGACGCTGGGTGTTCTGAAATTTTGGAAACCATTAGAAAGGGTAATTTTTACGTTTTTATGTGAAATTATTTTTTCTTTCCTGGTGATTTCTGAATTCTTCTCTCTAATACACACACATACATACACACACACATGCACACACATATGCACACAATTACCTATTCTTACAATTTATTTCCAGTACAATATTTTATTTTCATTTCTCTTTTAGAAAGGTACTCCATTGTTATAGGCATTTACACAATTTTAGATGCCATCTTGCATCTAATATTTTGTATTTTTATTCTTTTAGTAAAGTGAAATAGTTTCTATTGAAGATTAGGGATATGTGAGGGGAGAAAGAGACAGAGACCGAGAGACAGAGAGAGAGAGAGAGAGAGAGAGAGAGAGAGAGAGAGAGAGAGAGATGTGTTCAACAGAGAACACAGGCTGCTCCAGACTGGAAATAGTATTTTATCTTTTAACTCCGGGAAGAGGGTTATTTTTATCCCAGTTTTCAGATTCATATAATTATTCAGTAAGTACTGGTATTGAGTACTATAAAATTATAATTTCTGAATTGGTCCATGAATATGAAATAATTATGTATACAGCAATATCATGTCCTAAATTTCACTAGAAATGGGCCTCCCTCAAAGATTTAAAGACAAAGTTAACTGCTGGTGCAATCTTAAATTCACTATTATTGATATTATATAAATATTTCTGTGCTGGAGCGATAGCACAGCAGTAGGGCGTTTGCCTTACAAGCGGCCAACATGCCAACCCAAGTTCAATTCCTCCGCCCCTCTCGGAGAGCTCGACAAGCTACCGAGAGTATCTCGCCTGCACGGCAGAGCCTGGCAAACTGCCCGTTATGTATTTGATGTGCCAAACACAGTAACAACAAAGTCTCCAATGGAGACGTTACTGGGCCCTCTCAAGCAAATGGATGAACAACAGGAGGATGGTGACCGTGACCGATATAAATATTTGCTAAATTAAAATTTAGCCTCAAATAAATATTAGTGTCTTTCAATTTAAGAGAGTGCATAGATCAATATAGATCAATATAGGAAGAAATGGATGAACTAGACATAGTTGGGAAAATCCTATAAGATGCATGACTTGTGTTTAGTAATAAGAATAGCTGTTTTTATTGTTATTGCCATTATTAAAGTTAAGAATGTAGGGTGAATATATAATAGGATAAAGAAACAAGATAAGCAAAGTGATGATAGAAGTATACTATATTACTCTAGACCCTAAATTACAGAAATGAGACAAAGAAAGAAAGAAATTGAGGTGGGAAGTAGCAAGAGACTGACAGGAGGCAGTAGGGGCAGGGGGCAGGGGCCCCTCACACACTGTGGTGTAGAAATAAAATATAGGTATAGGTATGTCTAAACCACAGAGCCAAAGCACTGCATGCTGGAGATCTAAATGACAGTAGCTAAACTGAAAACTGCACCTGTTTAGGAGGCAATCTGGAGAATGGGAGGGAACCTGGGGATTTGATGAACTCAAGGTCACTCTGGTGGTGGGATTGGTCTTAGGATATGGTATGACTGAAACTCTATTACGAAGAACTCTGCAAGCCACAATGTGGCTTAAATCAAACAAGCAGACAAATATTACATTGAAGTAAAAACAAATTTTATTTGGAAATTCTGAGGGGAAGGGGAGAGAGAGAGACAGAGAGACAAAGAGAGAGACACAGATAGAGAAAGAGAGACAGAAAGACAGAGACAGAGAACATATGGACTCCTTACAGAGGGTCGACAGTCTTTTTGTCGGAATGAAGAATCTACAGAAGATAGCTTTTCACCACTTACCCCTTAAAGATTTAAGGTGCTAAAATCTCGAGTGGGAGGGATAATATGAAGCAACAGGCAGGTAGATAAGAAAGCCCCCCCACCCCACCCCAGTGGCAATGAGTTCTTGGGAAGTAATGAATATTTTACTCAAAAAAGGAAAGTATTTAGAAAGAATGATCCTGAATTTTCTTCATCCGTTAGCGAAGGAAGGGTTCGGGATTTAATGGAAAATCAATGGAGAATGTGGATTGGACCAGGACCCCCTAGATTGTCGAGTGGGGGGAGGTCCTGACTCCATGACATCTGATAAAGGCGGAAAAGTAATTAACCAATACGAGACAAGGTGTTATTGAAAAGTGGAGTTCACGCACCTGATTACTAATTAATCAGGCGTGAGAGCACCTTGTAGATGCATTTACTATTTAATTATAGCAGCCTCTCTTGGCAAAGGAGCATATGTTCCCAGCTTAATCTACTGGTTTATACTGACATCAAATTGTCATTATCAGAAAGAATCAGGCCTTTTGATTATTTCCACTAATTTATTGAACACTTAAAATTAATGAACCCCAGGCCTTTTAAATGTGCTCAGTTGGCTTGGAAGATAGAAGGAGACAGGGGATGGAGAAACGCCTTCATTAAAAGGACAATTTGTTTGGATAAAGGTAAAGCAAATACATTTCATGGGTGATCTGAACTCTATTGGTGAAAATCACGTGAATTCTAGAAGCTGAGCCTTCCAAACGATAAAGGGAAATAGTCTATGAGGTACGCCCTGCTGGCCAACATGGGCCTCTGAAGAACATATGGCTAAATTATTTATTATTGCTATTATTATTGTTATTTGATGTATGCCTGTTCTCTGAGAGACCTTAATGCAATTTGGTTAAATCAAATAAAAGCAATAAAAACCCAATGTTGGAGATCAATTGTTAGGCTAACAAGCACTTTATTTTTTTTAAATTTTGAAATATTTTCTGGGATGGCAAGGACTTCATACTAAGACACCTTTATTATTTGTAAATATATTTTGCATTAAGACTATCTTTGCATCATGTTCAAGTTGTGAATTTTTGTATTCAGTTTCAGGTGAAGGACAAGTTCAAGTACTCCTCCAGGTGAAAGAGGGTGTCTCCCCAACTATTTCTGGTGAGTATTAATTCATCACCTACAAATGATTGGCAGAGAAGAATGTTCCCCAATATTTTTATAAATTCCTCCCATCCTATAATAACAGGCTGCTTTCAGCCCCCATATTTTTTGTGAATATTTTCTCTAGTAATTCTATATTATGTTATCTTGTAACTGAAATATGGCTGCATGTCAAAAAGGGATCTAAGAAGGGTGCATTGATTTTAATCAAACATTCAAAATTAAAAATTAAAACATGTAAATAAGCACATTTCATAAATCATGGACATATGTGCACACAAAAGTCCAGATCTACAGATGGGCCCTTAGGCCCCCACCATATGGAATAAAAAATTCAGAATATCTCAAAACTTAAACTGTTCCCAGTAATTTCAGGAAATTAGGGTAAACAAACCTTCTCCAAAAGTTAGATGGTTCTGTGAAATCTTTCTAACTCATAAAAGTCAACTTCTCAAGGACTAAATTACTCATAAGCACCTTCTAATGTATTTCATTGTTTGTTTTTATTTATCCTGAGTCAATTTAACTGTACATTTACAGTAGGAATAAATCTCTTAAAAGACCAAATTTTACTTTGCTTTCCCTTTGCTTTTGTGTTCTGTCATGTTAATAAGAAAATGGTCTATTTTCTCCACTTAAATTAATAAATAAATGAGATAAAGGTACTGTACTAAAGCTGTAAATTAAAGGTATTGGTGGTTACTATTCCATACATATTGAAAAAATGTGTTATTTCTGATTTTGGAAAAGTTCCCAACCTGGTATAACATTTTAATCTTTTTGTCTGCTATGCTTCAGGGCTTTTTTAAAAAAAAATTTTTGTGTGATTTGATTTTGGTTTGTTTGCTTTTTGATTTGGGGTCATATCCGGCTGTGCTCAGAACTTACCTTTTTTTTTTCTTTTTGGGTCACACCTGGCGAAGCACAGGGGTTAATCCTGGCTCATGCACTCAGGAATTACTCCTGGTGGTGCTCAGGGAACCATATGGGATGCTGGGAATTGAATGTGTGTTGGCCACGTGTAAGGCAAACGCCCTTCCCGCTGTGCTATCGCTCCAGTCCCAGAACTTACTTTTAATGCTCAGGAGGCATAAGACTGTGCTAGGAAACCATACAGGATGTGGGGGTAGAAACTGGGTAGATCACATATAAGGCAAATGTCTTATCTGCCATGCTCTACTCTCTCTGGCCCCTTTGGGCTCTATTTTTGTGTGTTTCAAAATGCCTTGTTTATTGAGTGTCTTTCATGCAAGTTGTGGGAAAATGACACTGTAAGCATGTTGGAACTGTCTTTGACTATGTGGAGTTTCATGGTCACACAGGAATGTCATTCAAATGACTGACTAAATAGCTAAATGGCTACATAGCCTTCAAATAACTGTCACTGGGGACATCAAGAAAGTACAGATGTTAAGGCACTGGCCTTATATGTGGCTGACTCAGGCTTGATCCCAGCATCACTGTGGTCCTTGAGCACTGCCAGGAGTGGTCATTGAGAACTGCCAGATGTGAGTCAAAAACCAAAAGCAAAACAAAAATAATAAAATTGTTGCTAAGTCAGAGAGTCCCTTAAAGGATAGTGTGCATGATTTGAATGCAGGAGACCAGATTTGATCCCGGGAACCAACCATTGAGCACTATACCAGGAGTAGCACCAAAAATCATGTGAGAAGTAGTACCCTAGCATTTCTGGGTATAATTCAAACCCCAGACATACCACAACAAATGAAATCACTAGAACCAAGGAAATAACTTGGATGTCACAAGTCTTTCCTATCTCAAATTACTGTGTCCAAATTCGTTAATAAAAAAAATGATTGGTTTGGTTAGTTCTCATTTTATATTTTTTTCATTTTTTATAATTTTATTTATTGAATCACCGTGAGAGCAGTTACAAAGCTTTCGGGTCTAAGCCTCGGTCATACAATGAAACACCCGCACCTTCACCAGTGCCCATTCTCCACCCCCAACAACCCCAGTATACCCCCATCCCACACCCTCCCACTACCTGTGGGGCAGATGATTTCCACATTACTCTCTCTCTACTTTGATCACATTCAACACTTTTTTTTTAAATGTAGGAGTACTGCTATTTATTCAGCCACTGATTAGCTGATTGAATTGGGCATGAACTCCACCTTACTTTCTTTTTTTCATAATTTTATTTATTTTTTCCTTCTTATATTTATTTATTGAATCACTGTGGGAAAAGTTACTAAGATTTCAGGTTTGTCTCGGTCATACAATGATCAAACACCTTTCCCTTCACCAGTACTCATTTTTCACCACCAAGAACCCCAATATACCCGCCTCCCACCCCTCCCAATGCCTGTGTAGTTCTCATTTTAAAACATGCCTCTTGGTGGCGCTTTTGACGCCAGGCTTCCACTCAGAATACTGGATCATCTAGGAGGGATCATTTCCCATCCAAACCAGCCAGAACAGTGTGGCAGACCACTTGATAGATTCCTGTATTGAAGATTCCTGTATTGAAGATTCCTGTATTGAAGATTCCTGTATTGAAGGTTCCTGTATTGAAGACTTTGTGACTGGTCATCATGTGGGACTTTTCAGCAGAGGTCACTCTTAGTTAGAGACACTGCATGGGGTGAATCATTTGCAATATACTGAAACAATAGAAAGTTGATGTTCTATAGAGTTGTAGGATTTTACTAAGGGGAGGAAAGTCATAGGTTATTTATTTAATTCTATAAACAAACACATCAAAGCCCAGATCTTATGCAGTATTCTTTGTCACATCAGTAGAAAATGATTTAACCCAGATGAGAATTTAGGTCTTCTCATCTGCCCAGTGTTCTTTCTGGGTAATAACATAATTCTATGGTATTTAAATGACCTTTTGGCATATATTAATTTCCGAGTTAGATTAAAATATAATTATATGTAGTCAATCCTCCTGGCCAATGTAATTTAGGACAGGAAAAGATCATACAACACAGGGAGCTAGAGAATTATTACATTATAACTGATCATAAAAATCCCAAATATTAACATGTTTTTATAACATTGACTCCCATATTGTGGGATTTGTACACAGATATCAACGTTTAAAGATCAGTGTGTATTTTAGTAAATAAAGTTTTCTGTGAAAAACAGTACTATGATTGCAATTTCGAAAATGCTTTAACAAAGAGAATGTAGGGATAGAACTCTGTCTATATGTTAGTCTATTAGAGCATCCGTATTCTCTAAGAGAAAATAGAGGTGAAACATTTGGATTAAGGTGTTCTGCAGAGAACCTCAGTTAACTGTCAGAAGATTATGCCAGGCATTATGGGGATGGTGTGGTCAGGAAACAGCAGAGGCAGCAGAAAATGGGCCAGAATAGAGAGAGAAGAGGAGGCAGTGATGAAAGTTGTCTGGGAAGAGGGAATATGGGGAAAAAGATTTATGCTAAATTGGATCAAGATAGGACCCACCTACTCAAAGCCTCTCTTGCAAAACACAGTACCCAAAAGAAGAGAGAGAGAACAAGGGGGAATACCCTGCCACAGAGGCAGGATGGGACGGGAGGGGATGGGGGGTGGGGGGATGCTGGGACCTGTGGTGATGGATGACGGGCACTGGTGGAGGGATGGGCACTTGATCATTGTATAACTGAAACTCAAGCACAAAATTTGTAAGCCTATAACTGTACCTCATGGTGTTTCACTAATAAAAAAAGAAAAAAAAAGATAGGACCCACCTTCCCGAAAATCTCAGCGTAGATCTTCCATGGTCCTCCATTATCATAGCTTTAGTGGGTTCCTCTCTGGCTCAGGATGCTTTACAAAAGATGGAAAAAGGGAGAATAGCTAAGACAATCCATTTGGGTGGAAGATTAAAATATTTCCAAAGCATTGACCTCAATCCTGTGGTCTTTTTAGTGCTGGCTAATTGCAAACATTGGACCTAACTCAGAAAATATTCAGATGATCTTCCCGTATTTGCTAAGCTGATCACCTTCCTATGGAGCTCCAGGGGTCTGCTATCTCTTCTCTTATTTATGATCTACTCATCCTTTTTATCATCCTTTGAATTTTGTCCCGTTAGGAGGGACTCTTTGTCTTATGTCTTAACTCCCCCCTCCTTTACTGCTATCGTCAAAAGAGTGCCTCCAGAGGAAAAGAAAACAAAATTTATGGAATTCTTCTCTAGCTGATATCGCTCCTGCAAATGTCTCAGAAAAGCAGCTCCCTCTTCTTGCAGAGCTATAAAAAGGTCGATTAATGTAGCGGCAGCATTATTTGGCTCAGAGAGCAAGTCTGAGACCACCTCAGACTTTGGCTGTTGTTGTGTGACACATTTGTAGAGCAAAGCAAGACGAAGCTTCATCACAAGTTATTTTTTCCCCCTAAAGAGAGATCAGACCTTTACCACAAAGTCATTAAAAATGCCAACATTCCTTCACTATCCTGCAAATCACTTCTTAGGACCAAGGTCCTTCACTGGAAACCACTTATTGCTTAAAATGACATTTTAAAAATAGTGTAGGTACTATCGAGGGTCACATCAGCTTTCTAATGACAGTGAAGGGGTAAAAGTCAATTTCCTAAAGCTTTGGCAGCTCTCCTGTATGGGGGGAGGACTTGAGTTTGAAGGATAATCCTTCCTGGAGGCCAGAATTGGAGTGAAATAGGTCCTACCCACCCTTTGAGCCCTGGAGGATGGCCTCACTCCTGCGGACAGCTTGTGTACACTCGGGAAATAAAACACACTCACAAACCTAAGCAAACACAGCCAGGTTCATGCAGGACCACTTACTCCTGCTCGCTCAGTGAGACGAGGCAAGCAGGAACAGAGGGATCAAGACCTGGGAATGCTGACCAAGATTCATGAACACGAGTTTCAGTGTAAATCTATTTTTTCCAGTGCCTACGGGTATACATTAAAGTATACATCTAGAATATGAAAGTCTGTTAATGTCTCAGTGAGATTTGGAGGGTATGATTCTATCTAAACCTTCCCTTTCTCCATCCCGTTATCCATCAACGGTTTTTGCTTCAGCCTCATCATGGAAAGCATTCACCTTGACCACTCAAACCCTGAAGGCCAGTTCAGTAGCCACTTCTTCCCTTCCTTAGCAGAACCTTGTTATTAAAAAGTTCACTGCTGCATCTCCCATCCTGGGAGGATCCTCCCAACGCCCTTTATTTGGTGCTCCCTTCTCAATCCGAGCTGCCTTTCCCCCTAGCATGTGTGGCTGGCCTCCAAGCCATGGAATGGACCTCCAGGTACTTATCTTGGCTATTCTTGGGTGTTAGTCTCCTATTTTGTTACTTTATGTTCCCCAGATGAATGCAATCTTTCTATGTTTGTCTCTCTCTTTCTGACTCATTTTGCTTAGCATGATACTTTCCATGTAGTACCTCACGGTGTTTCACTAATAAAAATCACTGTTGCAATCTAGCCATGCCCTGCTTCTTAGTTCTCCACCACTGTGCTCTCTCTTGGTCTCTGGTCTCCCTCTTCGTCTCTGCCTACTTTTTCTTTAAACCCTTATTGGCTTTTTTTCTCTGTCTCTTTCTACACAGAAAGGTAATGTTTGCTTTATAGAAGTTTAATAAGTGCAGGAAATGGAAACCAGCTTCCTTCCTTATTAAGTCTTCTTATGGTTGGCATAAGAAGGTTGGCAGAGAATGTCAAATTCATTCGCAGCATCTCTAAGAATGGTTACTGTAAGATATAGTTTGTTCAGTTAAAGTCAGTTCATTCCTTTTGAAGCAAGAGTAGAGATAACAAAAGTAAAGATTATTTCCAATATCTATGGTATCTGGCTGGGGAAATTTTGAGGCTTATGTGATATTTTGAGGAACCTGACCAATGGTATTTAACATTGTGCTGGATGGAATTAAGGTATTGAGGTAACTTTTTTTTTTCTGGCATTAATGATGCTTCATCAAATATCCCCAATCTGACCTCTCTATCTTTGGTATGGCATTAGAAAGGAGTAAAAATTGGGAATAAAATTAGAACAGTATAATATTGGTGTTAATAACTTATTTATAAACCCTCTTTCTGAGGGTTACTTGTTCTGTTTCCTGGGGTATATTTTGTGCTAAGTAAATTAGTATTTCTACTCAATATACTTGTAACTTATCATGGGACCTAATTATATCATAAATTTTGGGGAAGAGGATTAAGGTGTTTCTCAGGATTATCACGTCGAATAGTTTTTCTTTTTTTTTTTAATACCATTATGATCTGGAATGATTGTAGCATTTTCACAATTTTTTGAAGAGAATCTCTGGGCAGATACCAGAATCTATTTATTCAGACTCAGAGCTCTCTCACATTCTTTATATTCATGTTTTTTTTTTCTATTTATCTCTTTCTACATATCATCACATGGAGGCCTCATAGGTACCTCAAATTCTTTATGACTTTATGTCCAAATGGTATTTGTCTTAATGGGAATCTATGCACACTACCCACCCTCATTCTGTCCTCCCATGATAAGGAACTGGGGGTCATCCTTGACTTCTCTTTGTGTTCTCTATATTCTCAACACCTTGGCTTCTTCCACACACAATAATTTCCTTGGTGGCAAGCACAGAACTTCATAATTCTATGATTTGAACACATCTGAAAAAGAAGGCTCCCATTATTTACTTGTGAAACTGGCAAGAAATAGATGACTTTTCTTCCCATTTTTATCATGTGAGCTCTTCACTCATGTGAGTTCTTGAAACTCCCAGTAGCCTGAGAAGAAACCCTTTTTTCACAGAGCAAGTGCATTTCCCCTAAAAGACTTAACTTCATGTATGGGTTTAGTTTGAACTTCTAAAAGCAATAACAAATAAAAGAAGGTCTGTATGAGAAGAACAGTTTATCAGTTGGGATTCTTTTCATCCTATCCTCCTTTCAGACTCTCTCTGCTCTTCTGACTTCACATTGGGGATCACATTCCAGAAAAGATAATCTGGTATAGCTCATTATATATTGTGCATGATGCAATCCTAGACTCTCCAAATTGGAAACTAATATATTTGTGTTTTTATTCTCTAGGGAGAGGTCAGTAGTACAGTTGAAAATAATTGCACTTTGAACATTATTATAATTATACTGTTATATTTTTATAATTATTATCAGGAGAATTATTAATAAAAAAGACAATAAGGTTTATGTCAATATTTAAATGAGAGATGTTCATATTGTTACCTCACCTTTAGTAAGCATTAAGAACTGTGAGAACTAAGTGTTTCGATAGCTGAAGATTCGATTTTAAGAAGAAATCAGAATTACTGATTCACTCAGAGGCACTTAACTAGGTATTATTTATAATTTGAAACTAAAATTTCAAGAATCTAAATACGAAATAGAAGAGATGAAGTAAATTGAAGATTTCTCATGATTGACTAATGCATAGCCATCAATACTATGATTAAGAATTTCAATATTAGAAAATGTAAAACTGTGAGCAAAAAATAAGAACTGAGTATATAATTAATATATAATGAAATCTCACTTATGTACAATATTGAGAAAATTCTGGAAATGCAAAGTAAAGGTTAATGACACTTGCCAATAGATGGTGACTCTAGAGACAAGGATTTTATTTTATTTTTGATTTTCTAAGTGTTCCCAAGTGTTTCCAAGTGTTCCCAAGCATCTATAATGTTTACAATGAAGCAAAACACACATATCTATCAACAAAAGTAACACACATTTTTCTGTGTGTAATTGAAGAATTACATGAAGAATTAATGGGCATCCATTAGGGCCCTGATGAACTGAGCTGAGAAGGTTTTGCACAACACTAACACAAAGAAAACTCCTGAAGCTTTCTTTTTAGCTATCATATCTCTAATGAAACAATAAGTAAGTGCCTCTACTCAAAATCTAACCTATTGGGCTTATCTTGCTAATCTACCTTTACTAAGGGGTGTGTCCTGATAGGACAAAGTGATACCAATTTAAAATAAGGAAACCTTTTGGCTGCAAATATATCTATCTGGAGAGTATAGAAAATTTATATAATTGGACTGCTTGGAAAAAATATAGAGGATTAGTTGCAAACTTTTATAGTAATGATCCTTTTAAAATTATAGATTAGAATCCTAAATGTTATGTTATTTAAACGGAAAAAAGAGGAATAGAAATAAGCCTGGTAAGGCAATTTAAGGCATTTGCCTTGCACGTGGCCGATCCGGGTTCAATTCCTCTGCCCCTCTCAGAAAGCCCGGCAAGCTACCACGAATATCCCACCCCCACAGCAAAGCCTGGCAAGCTACTCGTGACATATTTGTTATGCCAAAAACAACTAGGAACAACTAACCAGTAACAACTAGTCTCACAAGTTGTTGTGGGATGTTACTGGTGCCGGCTGGAGCAAATCAAAGAACTACGGGAGGAGTGCTACCGTGCTACAGTGAATTGAAGAATTAATTACTTGCTTTATGCTTGAGAAATATCTGAAGGTTGTAGAATACCCAATAGCAGTTACTCTGGAAGGAATCCGTATTTGCAGAGTGGGCGCGACTTGAGTCACACCCTGCAGTGTTCAGGACTTACTCCTGGCTCTGTGCTCAAGATAACACCTGGTGGAACATGGGGAAACATACATGGTGCTGGGGATTGAATCCAGGTTGACCCCATGCACAGGAAGTGCCTTACCTGTTGTCCCAGCAGCAGCAGCATCTTAAATTGATAATCAAAATAACAAATTATGAGAGTGCATTGGATGTCCATCGTTTTTCCTGCCATTTGTCTTTTATTTTCTAGCTTCTACTCCTGTATCTGAGTCAACATTAGAGTGGTCTCTCCCTGAAACATGGACTGGCGTTGAAGAGGGCTGGGGAGGATATAACCATACAGTTCCAGGCCCTGGGGATGATGTCCTAATTTTACCCAGTAAGTAAAGCAAGCCATGAATAAAATAATCAGAGAGACTGAACCAGGCCAACCTCATTATGGATTACTTGTTATTTATATCCGTTGCACAAAACAGTAGTGGGCACTTGTGTCTACATTCATTTTTTTAAAGGCTTAATAGAGGAAAAGTTCAACAGTCTAGTGGAATTCATAAAATATAGTCCAGTGTTCTTCTGCTATAGGTGGAAGACATTGCTACCATACTAAAAACGCTTAAAAATAGACCATTAACACACTTAAAAAAACTTAAAAGTTAGACCATTGACTGAGTAGTTTTTCTAATATGTCAGAAAAAATGCTTGTGGTTAATTCTAGTATCCTAATCTACATAGATAGGGCATATAGAAAGAGGGTATTGGGAATATCTATCTTTTGTCTTTATAACATTTTATGTATATGGTTGAGGAAAAAGAACTAATAAGCTCCATTGTTGCTTGATTTTTCAAAAATGATAGAAAAGGAGAAGATAAAACTATTTTTTAAAATATATTGATCTGTTTGTGTACTATATACTTATCTATATCTCTCCACCTACCAATCCATCTGTGTTTAACTTTCTGTCCTTCCATCTATCTAGACATTTTGTCATGTAAACATACATGTTTAAAAATATGATTCTTCAGATATAAAAAACATAGACTCATAAATGTCTTTACTAGAGAGCTCTCAGAATCTTAGATAAATATTTTTATAAGACAAATGTATTTTATCTAGAAGATTCTAGTTATTGTTTAAGTAGAATTTTTTAAGATAACACTAAATAAAATAGTATCAGTACAGGAAAAATGTTTGTTCACCTAATTTAACAATAATCAGACATTTGCTGATACTTGACACCATGGGATTATGGTATTGCCTCATATATTAAATAATTTAATCATTATTACAGTAGCTCGGATGTAAGTAACAGTGCTATCCATATTTTTATTGGTGAAGAAATAGAAGTCCAGGAAGGTCAAGAACTTTCCAGGCTAATTCTGTTTGCAGTCACTATTTTAATTCAGATAATATAAATATGGATCTGTATTCTTAGTCAATACAGTGTACCCTATCTCAAAGGACAAAGAGGACCGGAATGATAGCACAGTGGGTGAGGCATTTGCTTGCTTGAGACTGACCCAGGTTCGATTCCCAGCATCCAATATGGTCCCCTGAGCACGGCCAGGAGTAATTCCTGAGAGCAGAGCCAGAAGTAACCCTTGTGCATCACCAGCTGTGACCCAAAAAGCTAATAATAGTAATAATACTGTCCTCCCGATGTTCATCGATTTGCTCAAGCAGTCACCGGTAACATCTCCATTGTAAGACTTGTTACTGTTTTTTGTTTTTTTTTTGGCATATCGAATATGTCACAGGTAGCTTTCCAGGCTTTGCTGTGTGGGCTGAATACTCTTGGTAGCTTGCCGGGTTCTCTGAGAGGGGCAGAGGAATCAAACCTGGGTCGGCCACGTGCAAGGCAAATGCCTTGCAAATGCTATCACTCCGGCCCTAATAATAATAATAATAATAATAATGAATAAAAAAATAAAAGGACAAAGGGTAAACTAATAAAGAATAGTTGTGCAGTTTGCTTTATTTATGATGAAAATGAAGGCAGCATTAAAACATAGCGACCTTTAATATTTTTAATATGCCACTACTTTTGGATATTGGTGGTTTAATTGAACAGAGAATGAGGAGAAAGGGTGAAGGGATATGAAGTTGAACTATTAACACCCAAATTCTATATCAACCACCTTTCCCAGGAGAAGATGCAACTTTGAGTAAACAAGCTCAGGATTCATTAATATACAGAAAGGAAAAAATCTGTTCTTTCTCAGCCACCTCTTTGATGCATTTAGCCAGCAGATTGGCTCTCAGCGAGAGTTTTTCCTCCCCTCCCCACTCTGAGTAAGCTGTTTCCCTCACTGCACACAGGAAGCGAGAGAATCCTTTGAAGGTTGCCAAGCTTTTGGTATCCTTTGGGATATTTATGACAGGCGAGGGTAATCTTAGTTTGGCACTGCAGTTGACCACATTCATTGTGTGTCCTGGCTGTTGGGAGCCCCTGGCATCTTCAATTCTTTTTCATTCCTTTGTTGGTGATTAGATTATAAGATGGGCCTCGCTTCTCTATGAAGCTACCAAGTGGCACAAATTAGTGCTCGGGGGGAAAAAAAATTCAGCAGGCATAGCTATAGGGTATATGAAATATTTCCTTATTCTTCTTTGATATGATTATGAGCACAAGAGAAGTAAATATTTTTCAAAAAACATGCATATTTTAGCTTATATTTGGTTTTCCAATAGATAGATGCATGAAAATAGATACATAACCTATAATAAATGATATCTGCACTCCCCCTAAAACCTCCTTCATCTTTTTCAGCATGGCCTATTTAATTCCAGCAATTTATCTTATAGAAGTTAGCATATCAGTGTATCGTTTCACTCAATGTTAGTCTCACATAGAAGTTTTTTTTTTCTCTTATTTTTAGCAAACGCCGATGACCTTGATCTCTGGTAGATGTTTGAATTATGTTGAATTCACCTCCTCTCTATACCTTAAAATCTTGAATTCTTGAAATTTTGAATTCTTAACATCTTGAATTCTGTATCTTTTCAACTTCCCTTGGTTTCTTCCATTCTCAGTCTTCTATGAATCAAAGCATGTTTGCTCACTCAAGTGTTACACAAAAAAAGATAATAATAAGTATTACTTGAGTGAATATGCAATCCCAGTGGTGCCATCTGTAATTTGATAGCAGAAATAGATCTTTAAATTTGACAGATTTAACAGAAGGGAATGATTAGATTTAAAGATCTGTGAAAAATCTTGTCTTCTCCTTAATTCGCCTAAGAATTAATTTTTGTGATCATGATGATAGCACAAACCATAATTTGAGTGCTTAACATGTGTGATACATCATCAAAAGTGTTCTACATGTTGTTTTTTTTCCAACTAATTATCACAACCTCCTTGTGAGTAGATACTGTTGTTGTCTTTCCTTTATATATAAGGACTTTGATACACAGGGAGGTTAAGTGACTTGTCCACACACCGTGGCAGGAAAACACACCATTTGCTTTCAGTGTTCTATTAAAATCTTCCTCTTCTCATCTGGTCTGATTCATCCAAATGAGAAGAATGCATGCTATATTGAATCTATACTCTCTGATCAGAGTTAATTTTGTTTTCTTCACTTGAAATGAAAAAGAGAAAAGAGCTCTGCTATTTGTTGAGTACCTACCATATGTCAGAGACTCTATTTGAAGAATTTAATCTTATCACATTTCCATTATACACGAATACATGGGAAAACTAGAGAAACTTTCCCAAAAGGTATCTGATAAAATACACCATTGGTAGAAGTACTTGTGTTGCATCTGGTTTCTAATGTAGTTATATTTCAAGTTAATACTCTTCTCTAATTCTGTTTAACTACCATTTACTTAACATTTACTGTGTTTAAGGCACTGTACCAGGTGCTCATGATCTGACTCTCCAAAGGTCATGGAAATCCGTGACCTCAAAGAACTACTGATGTAGAGGGGTTAAGAGTGCACACAGTGAATGATAATGTAAGAAATCACTGCAATAAGCAGCAGAAGTGCAGAACTTCAGTGTTTCAGGTGAATCGAAGAGACGGATTCATGGAGAAAAGACATTTGAAGTAAAAATTGAATGGTGACGTAGGAGTCTAAGGGATAATAATGAGATACTCAGCATTATTTGGGACACTTCAGGAATAAAAGGGTGGACTGCTGACCAGGTAAGTCTGGTTTCCTCTTGGGTTCTGACATTTTCCAACTACCTCTTGGACAGGTTTTAAATCATCCTAATTGTCATCCATAACAAGAGGCCGTAATTAATGTATCATGATCTTGAAATGATTAAATGAGATAACATCAGTGAATATGACCACTGCAAAGAGTATTGGCAGTAATGGGATTACAGATGAAAGCTATGATTTTTAATGAATCGGGTGCTCTTTCCCTTCATTTTTCCATCTGGCTGCCCCTGTTGGCCCCTGGTATTAGAAACACTTTGTATTTGCTTTCCAATGGCTTATTATTTAATTTTCACAACATCCTTGGGAGCTAAATAGGTAATAACTATTATTACAGTAAAAACCCATTTTTACATAATACGATTTTAATGGAACTGCTGATTTTACAAAATGAAAGTGACTGATAAAGAAGATTTAAGTGATACTTTTGAACCTCTAATATAATTTTATGGTGTTTTGTGTATTTTAATTCATTAATAAAGGAAACGTGTAGAACATTCCTATCATTATTCAAATAGAATAGCATAATTTTTCAATAAAATTCTTAGGGTAAATTGCCTATTTCCATTTTCTGGGAAATCAATTTTATGGAATGACCTCGGACCCATCCTATTCCATAAAAATGGGACTTTACTGTACTAATAAAAGATATCACTATCTTAAGTATGGTACCATTTTCCTTCGAGGCTTTTCCTTGTCTTTATAGACATTGGATTTTGAAAGAGCTGTAAATTCTTTTAGGTGTTATATAAAGTAAGCTGTGATAATCACAAGGAATTCTCCTTTGTAGTTCATTTTATGATAACTTTGCTTCACATAAACAAGTACACGTATTTGTCTTGGCCACCTAAACATTGGGAGCATTAGTTGAAGTGCATTCATGACATCTTACAGAATTTGTATCAACATATAATGAGGATATCAAGCCTTCACAAACATAGCTGGCTAGCAAGTTACATGAGCCTGCTAACTTATATTCCCTATTTTGTCCTCAACTGAGCTGAGCAGATTTGTGTAAAATGGGTCCAGCGTGCTTTCTTTAAGGGAACTGTGGCCATAACAAGATGGCACTCTTTCGCTCAGGACAGGCTTAATGAAAGGAAAGTGTGTGATAGTTTCAAATGATAGGATTCCGTTTTCAAGGATACAGATATGATATCATACAGCCTCCAGCGTAATTTGATGTGTGTGATATTATTCACTGTTTCA